TCTTCAAGTGTATCATTTGCATTTATGCTTCAAGTTTCAAAAACTATGAATTTTGAAACTTTCTCGCTTGATGATCTCCTTTTTTGTAACAATAAATAATCAAAGTTTTTTGCTTTTCTCCAGGATCCTCACAACAAAGTCTCTGTAGAACTAGACGACTTTGAATTAGAGTAATGTTAAACATTGTATTTGGGATAAAATCCAGAAACATAAATTATATGAGAAACACTTCAAAAATTATATTTAAACTTTTTTTTAAGAACTCCACTTGAGTGTTTAACCATTGGAAGATGACGAAATTAAAACTCTAAATGAGGTTCTTAAAACAAAATTTATGATTAAAAAATTAGTAAGAACCTCATTGGAGATGGTCTAATTATGTTTAAACGAATAAACTCGACGAAACGAACAATATGTTGTTTGTGGGACAAGGCACTCATTGTCCACATAACGAGCTATGTAAACAAAGCTATCATCAATCTTGGAGTTGATCTCGACGTGATTCCAGACCCTCATCACATTTGTGATCTCATAGTCGAAGCTCTTCACATGATGAAATCCAAAGCCGAAGAAATAAGCTCTGCTGATTCAGATGTTTAAACACGAAATGTTGAATGGAGAACCTACTCATGCAAAACTCTTATTACTTATTCCATTTCTTATGATCAATGTTGTTTTCAATAAATTTTTTTAATGATGTGTATGTTGTATAGATGGAAAAGAACCTATCATGCAAAACTCTTATCAAATATTCCGTTTCCTAGGAAATTTGTTTTATCTATGTATAATGATTTTCAATAAAATGTTGTTTTCAATACCTATTTTAAAGAAAATGTTTGATGTCGAGATCATATAAAAAAAAAAAAGCTACCTATACAAAATTCCTATTTTAATTTATTTGTTTCATAAACATTAAAAAGTGTCATTTTAACATATTTCACACTTATTAAAAAATATTTTAAACGAAATTAATATACATATATTTAAAACACTCATAATTAATTCAAAACGAATTAAATACAAAGATTATTAGCTTTAGGTAAATGACAAGTTCTAAAATTAGTTTCACAAATCGCATTAATAATATAAAACAAATAGTCTTTTGAAAAAAAATAACACTAAAACGATGCTAAGTATATGTTATTTCATATCATATGATATATGTGTTATCTTTGTAGAAACATGTTCGATAGATGTTGATTTACCTATACCCCACCATTTATCATTTCATCATCTCGAGTACTAGTGGGTGTAGCTTCACTATTAATCATATACCAGCTTTCATTAATTATTTTTTTTTCATAGCCCCAAATATTTTTTTTTTGCTAAATGATAGCCCCAAAATTTATAAATGTGCTTATTAGTTTATGGAATATTAATTTTTGATATTATACTGTACCATGTGTTCTATAAATTTCAAATATTAGTTTAGATTTCGTATGGAATCATCCGATTATAGGGGAAAACAATATATGAAACATTAACCCAAAATATTTAGCCATGGTGCAGAACTTCTCGCTGTGGAGGATCTGTTAACATGGATTGCTATACGCTAAATCCGAATGAAATCCAAACCCACAAAACATATAGAGATGGCGTCCAAAGCAACATTTGAATGGTTTTTCCTCATTCCAAATCACATAGAACTACAGTTTTATAACATAAGATGCTAATCCAGTATTACAGTGTACAAACTTTTCTTATATATTTATTTATTTATTGAACACAAAATTTACTATATATAATACATTGTTTCTCTACGGTAGAACACAAATATCACAAACTCCATTCACAAACCTTTTTCTTGATAAATACATTCACAAAAATATATTCTTCTTAAACGGCATTATAACAGCTCTGCGGTCATCGCATTGAGGTGGATTAAGATAATTTTGGGTGTGTGATATATATATCAGTTCATGGGAAACCTAAATGTAGGTTACTGGTTACTATGTGAATATAAATGTGAATATAACGGCATCACACATAGTAACTGTTGGTGTGTTGTAAAAATGAATTTGAAAATGACCCGTTATTCACATATAAGTGTTTAGTAAGTTTTTTTTTGAACAAAAGTGTTTAGTAAGTTTTTTTTTTTTTTTTTTTTGAATCTAATGTTAAATTATATTCAAAAGAAAAAAACTTGTTTACAACTTTTCTGGTCGTTTTAGAGCTTAATCAAAGAAAAAACAATTTTCTTAGCTACTATCTTGTTGAAAACCAAACACGAAGACCATCTTCATATTGATTGTCTCCGTTGTTGCGAATCGAGCAAAGCTGGGTTCTGATGTTTTTGTCAATGATCTTAACGAGTCTGTGAATCGTCGAGGGAGAATCTCCATGGCGTCGTCCATTTCTCTCTTGCCAGAGAGTATGCACCGAAATTTGAAAAGCGTACCGTACAAGGAAGTGTCGAGTACAGTCTCTATCGGGTTCGATTAAGAGTGTCTGTATTCTATCCCAATCGCTTTCATACCGATGAAGGAGCAGCTTTTTTACCAACCTTTCCCATACTTGCGTTGTGAAAAAGAGATGGTCTCTTGACTCCATCGGAGCTGCACAAAAAACACAGCTTGTGTTGCTATTTCCTCTCCAGTGTTGCATCCTATCGCCTGTAGATAATCGATTGTGCATTGCTAGCCATACAGCAAAAGCATATTTCGGTGTGGCATGTGGAAACCAGATTCCTTTGTCCCAAATAACCTTCGGTCGTATCTCACGTATATTATTCCATGTATCTGTCGATGAAAATTTGGGTTTGAAAGCCCCACTCTTGCCCTTCCACAACGCCACATCTAACTCATTTATGGAACGGTGATTCTGTTTCTGCATCAATGTAAGTGTTTAGTAAGTTGAATTGTCCACATTGCTTTTTTAATAATGGTTTGACCGTTTTGGTCGAGTTACAAAAATATGAGATTAGAAAGCTCAAGATTGAACGTAAGGGAACCGTGTGGTTAAATAAGAGTGTAGAACTTGCGATATCTCGGATGATGTTGTGGACCGGCTTGGATTATAGTCTGATCTCTTGGCTGTACCTACACAAAAATAAACATGCCCTCAGTCCTCATGTCTCCAGATGGCAATTGCTTCCAATGCACTATAAGATTACATGTCATATTCTTATGAAAATTTTTAGGAAAACATTTGGTAGAAATGTTTTTAACCAATTTTTTAAGTAATTATGATAAAAAAATAGAAATAATAAGAAATAGGTAAGAAATTATCTATAAAAAGAAAATGTCAAAAAATAGTAGGAAAATATCCAACCAATAACCTACCAAATTTGTATTCATAGAAAATACAGTCAAAATTTGGTAAGAAAATGGTAGGATCCAATTGACTGTTACGCTGGTGGAACTTTCATAGGAAATTGCCTTACGAATTTCCTACGAAATATTATTTGTAAAAACACCATAAAAATTCTGTAGGAAAATATGTCTTCTGGTTTGTCCCACATCAAAAATCTAAAATAATTTAGATGAAAAAGTTGCATTATAAATAGAACACAATTAAAATTTTGTACGAATTTCCTACGAAATATTGTTTATAAAAAAATCGTAGAAATTCCGTAGAAAACTATGTTTTTTGGTTTGTCTCACATCGGCAATCTAAGATAATTTAGGTGAAGAAGTTGCATTATAAATAAGAGTCTTCACCTTCTTTCCCTCTAGTTAATAATTACTTAGTCAAATTTTAGGTTCATAGTAATTAGTGAACTTATTTTGTTTTTGTATATATTTTATTAATCAAATTTATAATCAATTTATATTTTAATTTAAATTCAATTTCTGATATTAATTTAATTTTTGATTTTATAAAATTATATTGGTAGAAATTGGTAGTAAAAGATTAGTGAAAAATTCGTAGGAAATATGTAAATAATATTTCGTAAGAAATTAAAAAACACTAATCGATAGAAAATGGTAGTAATTTAGTAGTAAAAATTTCCGTAGAAAACTGTCTTACCAATATTTTTGTAGAAACTTTTTTACCATTTTTTTTATCTTTTACAATTTTCGACTGCCAATTTCCTATGACAAAATTTCGTAGGAATTTGATAAAAAAAAAAATCGTTTTCTATTAATTTTCTAACGATATTTTCCGTAGGTTTTCGACATGTTTTCTTATAGTGATAGAGTTACACATTTGTCTACTGCTCAACTACTGGCGTGATTGGCCTTCTTAGTATCCAGAAACGTTATGCTATAAGTTGCCACAAAAACATAAATGTTACATCATTTTCGAAATAGGTGGCCAGTTTCTGAACACACAAACAAACACACACACATACTAATCAAACCTTTAAATCGTGTCTTATTCCTTCGCGAGGAGTATCAACTTCTTCTCTCTTCTTCTCTCACGAGGAGTAAAAGAAAAATATCCCATGAATCTACTTACAACTATAGTCTATAAGAGATGTAGAGAATATAAAAACTCATATAAACTATATATCTTGTAAAACGTCGTAGATTTTGAAATAGATGATCAAATTTAAAGCTGAATAACATAATGCGAATTTTTTTTTATCTGTAATTAGTATCAATTAAAGATAAAATATGAAAGAAAAAATAGAAAGATAAAAAAAGGAAATATATAACACTGACCTATTATTCTATTATAAATTATGAGAATTATTACATCGACAATTCTACAACAGATAAATCTCTCATGTAAGCTTGTCTCCATTAATCTGCACATTAATCTGCAAATTAATAATAAATTGCACTTTCCAAAACTCAAAACTCAAACTCAGATCTTTTAGTGTAAAAACATTAATGAACCCATTAACCAGTAAGCTAAGAGAACTTCCACAAAAGAAAATATTTCTTCTATATCAAATTTACAAGATCCTCACCCAAAACTTCATACAAGTTAAAGAAAATAGGTACTATCAAGAAATTGAGTAAGAGCACTATATTTTCAAAACTCTCATTTAAGTGCAACAACATATACTAATAGCTATCTATAAAACCGTTCGCATATGCCCTTTTTGAAATCACATATAACCCGAATATAAAACAGATCGAGAGATGGCAATCAAAAAGCAAGTGATGGAAGGAGAGGAGCCAGTCAGTCCATTTGCACAGCTGTTCAGCTTGCCGGGTCTCGACGTCTTCAACATTGTAACCATTGGATGCAAAACCGAAGGCGATCCATCAACCGTTGTTGAAGGATTAAAGAACACATTGATTAACCATCCACGCTTCTCTAGCATACTGGTCGGTAATGAATATACACACACATAGACATTGATGCACACATTTTCTTCGCTTATAGGTTAAGTTTTATATACATGTAGGTGACGGGTCATGGTGAGCGCAAAGGAAAAGCTAGATGGATTCCAACCAAAGTAAACGTGGAAGAGCACGTAATTGTTCCGGAAATAGATCCCAACATTGAGAATCCTGATGAATTTCTAGAGGATTATACATCAAACATGGCTCTTTCTCCGATGGATATGTCCAAGCCTTTATGGGAGTTTCACCTGTTGAAACTTAAGACATCAAATGCGGAATCTATCGCTATTGCTAGGTTCCATCATTCTTTGGGCGATGGGATGTCTCTTATGTCTCTTTTACTTGCTTGTACTCGAAAAACATGTGATCCCGAGGCATTGCCTACTTTTGTGGCTCCGAAAAAAAGCAAAGCTAAGAATGCTTGTTGGTCGTTGGTTGCTTGGTTATGGTTCATTTTAAGACTAATGTTCCATACTTGTATTGAAGTTATCAAGGCTATGGTTATTATATGTTTCGCAGGGGACACCACAGCTTATCTAATGGGTAAACCAGGAGTTACACTTAGCACCAATAAGTTTATTCATCGGATCATTAGTTTGGATGAGGTCAAAAACGTGAAGAACGCCTTGAATATGGTACGCTCGCTTGATTAATTTCCTTTGTTTTCTTTTTGAAAGATTGAATTTTTATGTTTATTCTCTTTTTGTATAGACGGTAAATGATGTTCTTTTTGGGATGGTACAAGCGGGTCTTTCACGATATTTGAATCAAAGATATGGTAATTTAGTCATCTTCTTTTTTTTTACTACTCTTCTTTAATAATATAAAATAACATTTGTTAGCATTTCTTGCATATTCTCAAACTTGTGAACAGATCTTGAAACAACTTTAAAGACAAGAAAAACTATTTATGGTGTTGTTTTTTTCAACCTCAGGCCAAATAAAGATATCGAGGTGATGAATGACATACCCTGGTCCTAACCAATTGTTTTTTTCGCTATTTATCTTATTTGAAATAGTCATAATCTAACATACAAATCTAATACTGTATACAGGATTTGGCTAATATGATGGCAAAAGGTTCTAAGTGCAGATGGGGAAACTCAATAGGTTATGTTCTGATTCCTTTGTGGATGAAGTCAGAGGATGATATTCTTGAATATGTTCGACAGGCTAAAACTACTATGGATCGTAAAAAACTTTCCCTAGAACCTCTATTTTCCTTTGGATTGCTCAAATTGACCATGGAGGTTTTTGGACTTACAGTAAGCTACGAAATTAACATTATCTTGATAGTAACAAATCTAATACTATGTATTTTATACATCTAATCGACATTTATCTGAATGCATGGGGCTGGAAAACAGGCACTCAAAAACCTTGTAAAGAGGATATTTGGTAGCACAACAGTGGTATTCTCAAATGTGGTTGGTCCTGTCGAAGAAATTAGTTTTTTTGGCCATCAAATATCTTACATTGCTGCAAGTACCTTTGGTATCCCACAGGTACTATATCTCTCCTTACACACAAAACCTTCTTTGAAACCATTACCCAAAAATCACATTTATTGAATTTCTTAGCAAATAAGGCTACTAATGATGGCTTCTATTTTTTATTTTACAACTTACGCACGCACTCTACCGGATTCGAATCCAAATAGTAACATAGGAACAGCACTAGTAAAAACTAATGTACAACATATCATAACTCATGATCAATGGTGACCTATACTAACCTATATACAAGAAAATAATTGACGAAGAATATTCAATTCCTCATTATTGAAAACTTTTTTGAACCATATACATGAGAAAACATGTTAATTAATTTTAGTTATATGGATCCCACATATTTCCTCAAAATTATCCCTCTCGAAGAATTGTAGAACAAATTAAATCCTCATGAAACCACAGCCACACCGAAAAATTCTTACTAGAATTAGTTAAACATGTAGTAAACAAAATGCAACCTTAACTGAAGAATTTTTTTTTTTTGTTTTGTTGAAAAGGCGCTCGTTATCAGTATTCAGAGCTATGTGGACAAACTTATAATCAACATTAATGTTGATCTCGACGTGATTCCAGACCCGCATCACCTTTGTGATCTCATCATCGAAGCTCTCGGCATGATGAGTTCTGCTGCTCCAAAAAAGTTGTTTCATCCTTCAAAGGTTTAAACAAAATATTTTAAATATATATATATATATATGGAAAATGAAGAACCCTTATTTACATGTATAATCAAATATTCAATTGAGCCATGTAATTATTTTCAATACTTTGTCTACTTATAGCTCATCCTGAGTTTATCATCTGTAATATGTAACGGACGATTTCGTTTTCAATAAATAAAATGGTTACCGTTATTTAAAATTAAATAAAGAAAAACTACTGTATGTGAATTAGTGGAACCTATTTAGAAAGATTTTTTTTTTTCTTTTGATGAATACTTTTTTAGAATTTTAGAGCACCTCTCAACATTCATCCATAAATGTTTGTACGAATGTGTTGTATTGTCTCAATCCATTTCCTCAAGTCTCAGACGTGACGATGTCAAAACTTAAAATTAAAGGATCCCGGCTCTTTCATTTTTTGCAAGTGGATTCCATCGATTTAAAATGGCATAACTACATTTGAGGGCGACAATAATGTTCTAATGCAGTAGGTTAGCTAGGGAACGTAATCAATGCTGCAGCTTTCCTTTTTTTCATATAATAATAAATAATTAAGTAACATTGTATGGCTTTTAAAGTCACATTGTATGGATAAAATAATCCATTAAAACCATTTTAAACTTCCGAGTTTATTTGTTTATGTTAACTTTCGCCTGAATTTTTAATCTTCTGGATTCCATCAATTTAAAATGGCATTTATTGTGAAACTAAATAAAAAAATTTGTGTGAAACGGAAGAAATATGAAGTTTCATGTATACATACGCAAGAACCAAGAGTTCTAACCCAAAAGTTTTGGCATGGCCTAATTAATTAGAAGATACTGTATATACATATGACATTCGACAACCCAACACAAAACCTTCATACCGTGAAAATAACAACAAAAACAACATGCAAAGAGATCCACTAAGACAAAAACAAAGGCATGCATCAACAAAGTTCAATATGTTTTTTTTTGATAAAAAAGTTCAATATGTTTGTTCAATATCATTATGTTTGTTTAATGTCTAATGTCTTATAATGTGTGTTTGTTTAAGTTCAATATGTTTGTTCAATATCTATTCATTAAGTTTAATATGTTTTGTTTGATTTTAATTTTGTAATTTTATGTTTTCAGTGTTTTTAATTGAACTTTATTTAAACTCAATGATAGGGTGTATTAATTTAAACATTTTGTGTATTCATATTAATTACAATGAATATTTCATATTAATTAAAATTAAAATCTCATATTACTACAAATGATAAGAAAAAAAAATATGGTATATTAATTATAGTTATAAAACTTAATCAGTTAATAAAAAATATAAAATTTATATTATAATATATATATATATATTTAGAGTTTTGTGAATAGTGTTACAACATAAAAATCTAAAAAAGAAATTGGTCTTGAAGATGTCGTTCGGTTGGAGCTTGACACACGCCAAATATAGTTTTATAGTGTTCGATTGGAGTTGCTCTTATTAATTCAAAATTTTGAATGCCAATTTTAAAGAAATTTTTTTCTTAATATTTATTTACACTAACAAAAAACCTAAGTTTTAGTTGTGGGTAGGGCACAATCCAATTATTAAAAACATTAGACCAGGCCTGATAATATTTACAATTTTTTCATGCCCTCTTTCAAACCAATAATTTTAGCGCGTTCAGCCCTTCAGGACCAACAGCATGCATTGGTTCCATACCGCCATTAGACCAATGCATTATATTCTCTCGGTTTGTAGACCCTACGTTTGTTCCACGACCAGTACGTTATGTTTAGTTTTTTTTTTGGCTAAAGATGTTACTATCATTGAAAATGAAATGCAAGGTGGTACAAAGATGACAACCTAATACAATGCTTCGTTGGCAAAAAAAATAAGAATTGAAAAACAAGGAGAGCAATACTACTGTGCAGAAAGAAGTTAGATTATCTCAGCCAAAGCGACATTAAGTTTCCAAAATGTAGTTTCCGTCGTCTTGCAGTGATGGTGTTACCATCGAAAACTGTGCTCGCAGGCAGTGGCGAAGCTAGAATTTTTTTTGTTAGGGAGATATAAAGACATATGATTTTATGAATGAGAATATTAACAGTAAGCTTTAATAAGTTACACTAATTTTTTTAAATTTATCCTGACTCAACGTATGTGGCTCCGCCACTTTGTCTAACATAGGGTCATTCGCCCCCATTGATTTTAAAATTTTGGTGTAGTTTATTAAAGCCAAATATCAATGCCCCTACTTCTAAAATTATATATACTCTTATTTGTTTCCAATGAAAAAAAATTATGGCTCCGCCACTGCTCGCAGGATTGAATGCTTAGTTTAGTTTGTATTTATTTGGTCCAAGTGAATTTTTAACAATATCATGCATTTTAATCAAAATTCATCTTGTATGCATTAATTAACGTTTGTTATTTTACCAAAATATGTGATACTGAACTAAAAGAACAAAAAAAAAAAGAAAAATGTTTTTCTTTCGTTGAGCTTTAAACAACTGAGGTTGAAAGACGTGTGTAATTGAGTCAACAAAAGATTGATTATAAACCACATATTTCACTGCAATACGAATCACAGTCCAATAAAAGCTGCAAGACTACTACACCCCGTTCACCTGGCGATAGATATACGACTTAGAAATGAACAAGAGCGCCGAGAAACCCACGCCGCTAATAACCGCAAGTAACCAATAGAAGAAATCAAGATGGGCTCTGTTCAGATTACTGTTGAACCAGCTGTTTCTGGCGTCTCCTCCAGTGGCCAAGTCGATCAGAGAGATAAGTAAGCTGCTCAATAAGCTTCCTACGCCCAAAGCACTTAAGTAGAATGCGAGACCAATGCTTCTCAGCTCGGTGGGGACTTGGCTGTAGAAGAATTCTTGCATTCCAACTAATGTGAATACGTCGGCCAATCCCAGCAAAAGATTGATAAGAAGATACACAACACGTATTACAGAAAGAAGAAGCGAAATGAAGAAACAGATCAAAAGGCAAATGAGTCAACAGAGCTGGAGTTAGTCAACGGAAAGTGAAGACTCTTATAGATAAGGAGGTTGTTACGGTTACAACAATATGAGAGATAAGAAGTATAAATAGAGTCTGTTGCCATTTTACTTTCTCTCACGCGAATTATGAACTAGATAAATCAGAGCGTCATGAGCTCGGTGAAGATCGTCATGAGATCTTGATCCAATCGAGATGAGATTGTGATCCTCTTGTTTGTAATTCGCATTTCTTCTCAATAAAGGATCTTCTTCTTCCTTCCTTCTCTCTACTTTCGATATCTTTACTCTATCATTGGTGCGGTGAAACTCGACGAATCAAACGCGATGTCGAACGGCGAAACGACGCCGATACATACAATTGGGGACGATTACAGCTCGGAACCTGCGACGGAGCTCAGAGAACGAGTAGAAGTGCTACATGGAGGACTCAAGCGATTATGTGAATCGAAAGTTCAGACGGAGACGCGAATCTCCGAAATGGACAAGAAATTAAATACGATGATGGCGATGATCGAAAAATTGACACCAAGCTCGAGCAATGGAGGTTCTCGAAACTCGGATGACATGAATCCAGCTCAAACACAATATCAGGTACGATCTAATCAACTGGAACAAAACCGGAATGAACAATCGTTAGGTTATCGATCTGGGAATTTGAATGTTGCAAATCGCGATAGTATGCTCAAAAAGATTGAGATGCCTAGTTTCGACGGAAAACAACCATACGAATGGATTACAGATGTAGAACACTTCTTCATGGTTGGCCGTTATACAGAAAATGAGAAGTTGGATTTGGTAGCACTGAGTCTTTCTGGTAAAGTGCGGAAATGGTTTGGATGGGAGATACAGCGAAATGGTTTTCGAGATTGGAGAGAATTTAAAGAAAAGCTGTTAGTGAGGTTTGCAGAAACGATAGAAGAAGAACCAGAAACAAGACTGTTATCACTCAAGCAAACGGGGTCAGTGAGCGACTATGTCTCTGAATTTGAGGAGTTATCATCGCTGGTTTCAGGACTAGATGACAGATATCTGATAAGAATCTTCTACAAAGGATTGAGTCCAGAGATGCAAGAGGTTATCAGAATGAAAGAACCACAAGGATTAAGGGTTCATATATCAGCAGTGCTACGAATGGAAACCAGTACATTCTGTAAAGTGGTTGGTGAATCTGGGAAAGAAGAAATTCGTTTTCCAAGACAAGGTGGTCCATTACGAAACTCTACGAACTACAACAGCTCGAGAAACATTGTGTCGAGGGGGAACAACACGAACTGGACAGAGGCTCACAAGTCACACCAAACAGTTAAAGAAACAAACCAGTTGAAGGAGAATACAACACAAGCGAGAAACGATCTGAGACCTCGACAACGATTTTCAGATCTACAGCTGGATGCAATGAGGAAAGAGGGGTTATGTTTTAAATGTGGAGCAAAGTGGTCAAGAACTCATGGAAGAGAATGTCCGATGAAAGAACTGAAAATCTTAACGGTAATAAATGGATACGACTTGGAAGTTCTGGCTAGTGAAGATGAGGAATACGAAGGAGAACAAGCTCTAGTAACTACTGAATTCATGGTGTTATCTCTCAACTCATTTTTGGGAATGCACTCACCTAAAACGACTAAACTACATGGTCGAATAGGCAAACTTGAGGTGATAGTCATGCTCGATAGTGGAGCATCCCACAATTTCATATCTCCAGAAATTGTGAAGAAGTTGCGGTTGAAAGTTTGTGCAGACAGCAACTTAGATGTGTTATTAGGCAATGGTGTAACTATTAAAGGCAGCGGAATATGCCCAGCAGTGATATTTCAACTGTCTAACGAAAATTTCACATCTGACTTCATCTCATTGGAATTGGGAATGGTGGATGTTATTCTAGGAATACAATGGTTGGAGACTTTGGGCAAGTGTGAGATCGATTGGAAGAAGCAGGAACTCTCTTTTGTTCACCAAGGGAAAATGGTAACACTATGGGGTGATCCATCTCTACACTTCCCCAAACTATCCTTTAAATCATTATCCTATACACAAAACACTGGATTTCAAGGGAGGAGAAGTCTTGTATTGTCCAGTGCGGATGTGTCACCGATTCCGTTTAAAATTCCACCTGAGGTAACAGCCGTTTTGGAACAGTTTGAAGAAGTATTTGCAGTTCCAAAAGGATTACCTCCAGCACGTGGACACGAGCATGCCATTGTGCTACAACCAGGAGTTAATGCGATATCAGTCCGACCTTATCGTTACCCTCATGCGAGTAAGGTAATAATGGAAAGTATGGTAAACGACATGCTCAAGTCGGGTATCATTAGACCAAGCACAAGCCCTTTCTCGAGTCCTGTTCTTTTGGTAAAGAAAAAGGATGCTTCTTGGAGGTTTTGTGTTGATTACAGAGCTCTAAATAGGGTCACAGTGCCGGACAAGTTTCCCATACCAGTAATTGATCAACTCCTGGACGAATTGAATGGTGCCACAGTGTTTTCCAAACTCGATCTACGTTCAGGGTACCATCAAATTCTAATGAAAGAACAAGACATAGAAAAAACAGCGTTTCGAACAGTGGAAGGCCATTACGAGTTTCTAGTTATGCTTTTTGGCCTAACAAATGCTCCAGCAACCTTCCAAGCACTCATGAACACTGTCTTCAAACCGTTCTTGCGAGGATTTGTTCTAGTGTTTTTTGACGACGTGTTGGTGTATAGCAAGGATGTTTCTCAACATGTAGAACATTTGGCAGCTGTATTGAGAGTTTTTGCAAAACAGCAGCTATTCGCCAACAAGAAAAAATGTATGTTTGGCTTACCTCAGGTAGAATACCTTGGCCATATTATATCAAAAGAAGGAGTAGCAACTGATTCCACAAAAACAGAAGCGATGAAACGTTGGCCAACACCTAAGAACATCAAGCAACTAAGAGGCTTTCTGGGATTGACAGGGTATTACCGGAAGTTTGTGAGAGGATATGGGGTATTAGCAAAGCCATTAACAGAACTATTGAAGAAAGATAACTTCCAGTGGTCACCAGAAGCACAAGAAGCATTTAATAAACTCAAAGAAGCGATAATCTCGGCTCCGGTATTGGCACTACCAGATTTTGAGAAAATTTTTGTTGTAGAATCGGATGCTTCGGGTTTCGGTTTGGGAGCAGTTCTGATGCAGGATCGAAAACCTATAGCTTTTTTCAGTCACGGTTTAACAACTCGAGAACAAATGAAGCCGGCATATGAACGAGAATTGATGGCAATCGTAATGGCAGTGCAGAAATGGAAACATTACTTGTTGGGCCGAAAATTTGTGGTTCATACTGATCAGAGAAGCTTGAAGTTTTTGTTAGAACAGAAGGAGGTGAATATGGAGTATCAAAGATGGTTAACAAGGCTATTGGGGTTTGATTTCGACATTTTTTACAAGCCAGGGTGTGAGAACAAAGCAGCTGACGGATTATCTAAAATGCTACCAGCTGAATTGGGTTCGTTGAACACAGTTTTATTGACTCTAGCAGTTCCTTCAGTGTTACAGCTACAAGATTTGTATAAGGAAATTGAGGAAGATCAAACACTTCGGGAATTAGCAGAAAAAATTCAACGAGGTCAGAATAAGATTCAAGGTTATGAAGTGCTGAATGGTCACGTGTGGTACAGAAGGCGTTTGATGATTCCACAACAGTCAGTATTCATTCCGATAATTTTGCGGGAATACCACGATGGTAAGCTTGGTGGACATTCAGGGGTCCTAAAAACAGTGAAGAGGATACAACAGGTGTTCTATTGGACTGGAATGTTCAAGACGATTCAGAAATACGTTGCAGAGTGTGAAATTTGTCAACAACATAAGTACTCAACACTGACACCAGCCGGACTATTGCAACCTCTACCTATACCTACTCAAATATGGGAAGACATATGTATGGACTTTGTAGAAGGGTTGCCAACATCGCAGGGATTTAACGTGGTCTTGGTGGTAATAGACAGGCTGAGTAAATACGCACATTTTGTGGGTCTCCGCCATCCGTTTACAGCCGTAGATGTGGCACAGAAACTTTTGTCAGAAATTGTGAAGTTACATGGGTTTCCGAAGTCGATAATCTCCGACAGAGATCGCATATTTCTGAGTGCGTTTTGGAAGGATATGTTTAAGCTGTCAGGTACTAAACTGAACTATAGTACCGCGTTCCATCCTCAAACGGACGGACAAACGGAGGTCCTAAACCGATGTCTGGAAACGTACCTTCGGTGTTTTGCTTCAGGACACCCGAAAACGTGGCACAAGTTCTTGACTTGGGCAGAACTGTGGTACAACACGACGTATCACACATCACTACAGACCACTCCATTCAAAGTTGTGTACGGAAGAGATCCTCCAGCTCTAGTTCGTTATGAGAAAGGATCAACAACAAACTGTGAACTGGAGCAAATGCTAAAAGAAAGGGACGAGATGTTGAGCTTAATAAAGATGCAGTTGGAGAAAGCACAACATCTGATGAGGAAAAATGCAGATAAACACCGAAGAGAGGCCCAATTTGAAGTAGGAGACAAGGTGTATTTGAAGCTTAAACCATATAGACAACAAACGGTGGTTCGGAGATTCTGTCAAAAGCTATCCGCAAGATATTTTGGCCCTTATGAAATTCTGGAAAGAATTGGCAAGGTAGCTTATCGTCTCCAACTACCTAAAGAGTCTAAAGTGCATGACGTCTTCCATATTTCTCAGTTAAAACTGGCATTGGGAAAGAATCATCAGGTGCAACCATTACCTCCAACGATGACTGATATAATGGAACAAGAGTGGGAACCAGAGGCTATTTTGGATAAGCGTTTCTCACCTTCTGGTGTAGTTGAAGTCCTGGTGAAATGGGAAGGGAAACCAGACTATTAGAACACGTGGGTTCCTACGAAAGTGTTATTAACACAGTTTCCTTATCACAAGCTTGAGGGCAAGCTTGATTTCGTTGGGGGGAGTATTGATAAGAAGATACACAACACGTATTACAGAAAGAAGAAGCGAAATGAAGAAACAGATCAAAAGGCAAATGAGTCAACAGAGCTGGAGTTAGTCAACGGAAAGTGAAGACTCTTATAGATAAGGAGGTTGTTACGGTTACAACAATATGAGAGATAAGAAGTATAAATAGAGTCTGTTGCCATTTTACTTTCTCTCACGCGAATTATGAACTAGATAAATCAGAGCGTCATGAGCTCGGTGAAGATCGTCATGAGATCTTGATCCAATCGAGATGAGATTGTGATCCTCTTGTTTGTAATTCGCATTTCTTCTCAATAAAGGATCTTCTTCTTCCTTCCTTCTCTCTACTTTCGATATCTTTACTCTATCACAGATACTGAGGTATCAACCACCATATCGACATTGGAACAGTTGTTTGCGGTTGGTCTATAAGCCCGTGTTCTTTTGCAGTCTTGAGCCGCTTTGTCTCAACCAGAGCTGCAATCACCATGGTGAGAGTTGCTATTACCATTCCGGTTCCAATTCTTTTGAGCGTTGTGATGCCACAAGGATCTTTGGTTATGGACCTGGCCATTGGGACCAAAACACGGTCGTAGATGAGGACAAAGAGGACAATGGATATGCCAATAAGGACCTGAAGAGAAGCTGGCGGGATCTTTACACCGGGAGCTATTGTTCTTTCCATTGTGACGCCTTGCTTTGTGAAGAAAGTCGTGTATTGCGCGTAAGGTATGGCGTAGGCGAGAGTTGTAAGCCATAGTGGGATAAGCCTGACAAGAGCTGTGGCATCATTGACATCACTAACACTGCATGGATTCGGGGCAAGCAAGGCTTTGTTGAGTAACCTATGATAAGAATTGGCTTAGAACTATAACATGATTTCATTCCAGAAAAGCCATGTTTTAAGGTGCATCTTCTTCACATCTACTTATGTACTGTTCTCTTTCCGTGTAGGAATTTTAGGCAAACATACCTCAGCCTCTCTGGAGATCCTTGAGATGGATTTGTCTCCAGCTCAGTCGATCTTTGGTTCCTGAATGCTTGAAAGAAGACTCTACCTATCCTAACAAAGGGGTTGATTTCCTCTTCTGGTATTCTTTTGGTGTACCTGTAACACCTTCTCCCAAGGACAAAAATAACAAGAGAGATCAACATGAACACACATGGGATTCCAAACCCGAGTGCCCAGCTCACAGCTTCCTGAATGTACACAACAACTACAATGGCCAAACAGATCCCTGCAGACAAACTAAGGTACCACCAGTTGAAGAAGGAGCCTCTGTCACGTTTCTCTATTGGATCTTTTTCATCAAACTGGTCTGCCCCAAAAGCCTGAACACAAGGCTTATGCCCACTTTGTCCAATAGCTACCAGGTACAAAGAGAAGAAGAAGAGTACATTGAGCAAGGAAGAAGTTGAAGAAGAGGTCACTTCTGTATTCTCGCTAGTAATCGGAACCAGTAGTGCCGACAAAGTCAGAAGTGCCATCCCCTGACATCAAATCCACACTACCTAAAGTCAAATTTTCTACTTCTAAACTTTTGATCTCTGAGCATATAACGTGATAAAGTGCATCTCTTTCGTGAAGAACAATCAAAGCCAAAATGCTACTAATTGGTAGTACTTTAACAAGCATTAACCGGAAGAAACCTGGAACCCATAATCTAAACTCATACTATGCTCGAAATGAACAGATTTCTTCAATTTCTTCACCTAAAGTTTTCAAATTTAGATCGAAATTGGAATGAGAAGAGACAATAGTAGACCAACCAGTACGTAGATAAGAGAAGCGATGATGATTGTTCGATAACGGCCGAGAAAAGCGTCGGCGACGAAAGCACCCAGAACAGGAAGAAGACAGGAGATTCCCGACCACGCGTTGACGTTAGCGGCGGCGACCGCCGTAGATTGACGAAGAGGTCCGGTCAGGTAGCTAATCAGGTTTGATGCGATTCCATAGTAAGCGAACCTCTCCGCAACCTCCACACCTGCGAATATACTAAGAAATTCAGAAAAAAATTGGAGGAAAAAATAAGAAACAGAGCAGCTTTCGATCTCAATTGTTTTGATGTACCGATTATGAACCAAGCGGCTCTCCATCTACCGGTATTGGATCTGCCGGCGGCAAGTCCGTCGTGGTCAACAGCGTCGATCACGTATTCTTCTTGGAGAGGAGTTTCGGCGCTAGTCGCCATTTCTGTATAGAATGAGGAATTTGAGTAATTAACCAACGGCAGATTTTTGTCTCATCTCCTTGCATCTGTACTGTAATTCGCTGTTGGAAGGAAGAAGAAGCTAAAGCTATTACGTAATTTTTTGTCTAATTTTGTTTAGACATTTTTTTTTTCATCTTACCACTCTTTTATCGCTCACAGACTCTAATTGTGTTGATTAGGAAACTAATTAGCAAATTCTTTTTTGTTTTTTGTTTGTCTTCTTTGAGTAAAACGACTAATAATTAAGAATGTGAGGTTTACAAGAATCACGTTATTGTTTATTTCTTCTTCATCAGAAAATCAACAAGGCTCTTGTTTAGTTGCTTCTTAAAACACTGTCGTTTTTAAAGTCTTCCGAAAGTCCCTTTTAAGGCTTTAACGGTTGTTGGACAAACGACTTGTGCCTTGGAAGCTCCAAGAACCAAGAATGCACATCATGTCAAAACTTTTCTTTTTTTTAATGAAAAGAGAGTATATTACGAGATGCCGAATATAATTTTATAAGTATGTCCGTGTATCATGGCAATTGATCTGCTAATGCATAATGCATTGATCCAAAATACTCTTCATATTTCTCATAATTCAGTAATTAATCCGAAAATCGAGACGCCGACCCCTATATGATTGTTTTAAGTTGTACGTACCATGTATTTATCATGTTATATATTATATGTTTTATATATATATACATGGTTACAACATAATATTGTTTTGATATGATCCATGAAATGGTTGATATATAGCATGTGTTTATCCTTTATTATTGACAATTGAATTAAAATTTGTTTTAACAAATTAAGTGTTTTTATGTATGTCTACATATACTCTCTTATAGATCAGAATTATGTTAAAAGTTAAAACCATTAATTTATTGTCATTTTCATGAATGTTGGGCAGGGCGGCTCTGAGTTTCTATAGAACATATCAAAACCATTACATTTATCGTCGTTCTCATTTTTTTTGTACGCTATCCTCGTTTTATTTTTGTTTAAGATTTTCACTTAAGAAAGAAATACTTCATTTAGTTTGCCTAGATATATCTAATTTTGAGAATTTATATTATTTCTTTCAAATTTAGTAGTAAAAACAAAAAATTAACCCTTTGTATCAATGGCTGCGGACCTGCGGTTCGTCTCACCATTGCCCACACATATATCATGTTTTCAATAGCTTACAGTTGTCTATAAATCATTAAAAGGTTTGATACAAGAAGGATTAAAAGTTATTTGCATAGCCAGAATATCATACCTAGTACGTATGAATCTGAGCCTCTGATAGATTCATGAAGTCACATGTTGTTTGATGAAGGGTTCATGAAGTCACATGTGAATTTTAGTTGTCTTTTCATTTATTTATCTCAATTATATACACCGATCTTTATCAAAAAAGATTATATACACCGATAACAAGCGTAGATGTTTATAACGACTTAATACGTCCGAAAGATTTGTAGTGATATCCTTTTTTGTATTGGATATGTGCACACTTATTGGCAATAATTCATTCCCTAGTTTGCTGGTAATTGTACAGTCTCCAGAATCAGACATGTCGTACGTCAAATTTTGAAATTGTGTTGTGTAAATTAAAGACCACATGTACCATTATTATTATGAAAAGCCTATACACGTAGAACGATAGTTCGTGAACACACACACAGTCTCTCTCTCTCTCACACACATACACACATTAATACACAAGTTAATCGTGTCTGATTTTGTTAGATTTTCAGTCGAGTTTCTTTCTTTAATTTTGACATAAGAAAAGTATCACAAATTTAATTCCGACATCACATCAGCTGTGGTTGATTGTGGTTGATTGAGAGCATGACCAATGGTTTCTCCTTGAGTTTCTCCTTAATAAAAATATTATTTTAATGAAAAAGAAAGAGAAGGAGGAAGATCGATCTTTATTTAAGGTCTGCAAGGATCGATCTTTCATGATGATGTGGCATATTTTTATTGGATGCACCTTTTAATTCCTTGTAACTTCTTATTTTTTATATTAAATTTTCTTTAAAAAAAAAACTTTTTTGGGTTTCTCCGATATACATCAAAATATACAGGTTTTTTTGTAAGTTTCTTAAATGAATTTTAGTATTATAATAATTAAAAGAAATCCATATGGATTTTTCTGGTAAACATGGTCTGAGAAGTGGTCTTTGATTCTTTGAACCCGGAGATCAAAGGTTTAATAAATTGATTTATTTTCTTTCTTTTTTTCGAGATTTTTTATTTATTTATATTTATATCCTACGACTAGTAGCGATATCCTTGTTGTATTGGTAGTTTGGTACACTAAAAACTCGTGATCGGCCTCGGATATGTGCACACTTATTGGCAATAACTCGTTCTCTATTTTGCTGGTAATTACATCGTTCAGGATGAGACATGCATGCATGGTACCTCAATTTTAGAAAGTACGTGCTATTATTACAAGAACAAGAAAATACTTCACAACACACATATATAGTTTCATGAACACACATTAATACACGTTTTAATCGTCTCGTATTTTGTTGGAGTTTCAGTCGTCCTTCTTCCTTTAGTTTGAGCTGAAAAGTAGTTCACTAATTTATTTCGGATCAATTATTTGTCTTGAAATGAAAAAAAAAACGCATTTTTATAAAGCTTAATATATACAATTAGTATTTTTCAACATTTTTAATACACAACAATATTGATAGCTCTATGAGGCTTAGCACGTGTATATAAACCAACCATGCAACTTGTGAAATCATTCATATATACATCAAAAAAAAAAAAAAAAAAAAGATATGGCAATGGAGAAGAAAGTGACTTCTGGAGACGTGCCGGTCAGCCCGTTTTCACGGCTGTTCAGCTTGCCAGGTCTTGATTGTTTCAACATCGTAACCATCGGATTCAAAAATGAAGCCAATCCATCAGCTTTCATTGAAGGTTTGAAGAACACATTGATCAACCATCCACGCTTCTCTAGCATACTAGTAATTAACACACAAACACACGTTCATATCTATATATATTATATAAACTCTTGCAGCCATATTTGTGCGCAACTTTGAAATGATTTGTTTATGTTATCTTCTATAGGAGACAGGTCTTGGTGAACACAAAGCGAAATGGATCCCCACAAAAGTAAAAGTTGAAGATCATGTCGTTGTTCCAGATATAGATCCCACCATTGAAAATCCTGATCAATTTTTAGAGGATTATACATCAAATATGGTTTTTTCACCAATGGATATGTCTAAACCGTTATGGGAGATACATCTATTGAAAATGAAAACATCAAATGCAGAATCTCTTGTCGTGGCGAGATTTCATCATTCTTTGGGTGATGGGATGTCTCTTATGTCTCTTTTACTCGCTTGTAGTCGAAAAACAAATGACCCGGAGACACTACCCACTTTGGTTGCTCCAAAGAAAAAGAAAGTAACCAATGTTTGCTGGTCTTTGGTTGCTCGCTTTTGGTTCATAGTAAGACTAATGTTCCACACTTTTGTTGAAGTTTTCAAGTTTTTGCTCATTTTATGTTCCGTCCGAGACGCTGGGACTCCTCTTATGGAAAAACCAAGTGCTACTCTTAGCCCTAATAAGTTTATTCATAGAGTCATTAGTTTGGATGATGTGAAAGTCGTGAAGAACGCAATGAATATGGTACGTAGTATTTCCTTTTTCTTTCTTGCTTGTTAATCAATAGTTGACCAAACATTAAGCGCTATAGTATTTTCATTTTGTCCTCTCTCTTAATTAGACTGTGAACGACGTTATCCATGGGATGGTGCAAGCTGGTCTTTCGCGATATTTGAGTGAAAAAAATGGTAAATCTTTTAGTATCATTTTTTGCTATCGTGAAAATTACATTTGTAAACGTTTCTAACATTTTGTTATCTTTGGCTTTTGTAAACAGATTCTAAAACAAATCCGAAGCTAAGAAAATCTCTAGAAAAGATATGTCTTCGTGGTGTTGTTTTTTTTAACCTAAGATCAAACAAAAAAATCGAGGTGCAAACAAACATTATTCCTTAAAGGGTCTTTAATTATTCTCTATATAAAAAGAAAACAGTTAAAATATCAACGTCCTAATTAATTAATTTGTTTTGTCATATATAATATAGGATCTTGCTGAGATGATGGCGAAACGTTCAACGTCAAGATGGGGAAACTCAATTGGTTATGTTATGATTCCGCTATGGATGAGACCTGAAAACGATATATTTGAATACATCCGACGAGCCAAAACTATTATGGACCGGAAAAAACTTTCCCTCGAACCTTTATTTTCCTATGTGTTGCTCAAATTGACTGTGGAAGTTTTCGGATTCAGGGTGAGATAGTAAATCAAATTTATTTTGATAATTCTATAGATGTGAATGATGAATTCTAATGGATTCATTTGGCCGTATGGGTGTGGGAAACAGGCACTAAGAAATCTTGCAATGAGAATTTTCGGTCGCTCAACAATCATATTGTCAAATGTTGTCGGTCCATCCGAAGAAATAAGCCTTTTCGAGCATCATATATCTTATGTTGCCGCAAGTATATATGGCATTCCACAGGTATATAACCCAATATCTTCCTTGAAACTATTTTAAAAAGTCATATCAACTTAATTTCCTTTGGAATAGATGTTTTTGCTTAATTTGCCCACATGTCCACCTTTTTAAAAAATTCTCTTACCATTATATCTTAGATATTATGAGCAGATAATAATACAGCTATGTATATTATAAAAAACGGGACTTTGTTTTTTTTTTACAATATATTATCACCATTGTAACTTTATAATTCTTGACTAAATTATCTTCCTTTGTTTGTTGTCCACACAAAATAAACTCTACTAATTTTTGAAAGAAAGGAGAGTAATAATTTGCTTGTGAAGCCCAAGAAAATGGGGACCCCATACAAATGTTTCCTTTAACTATGTTTTCTGTTAAGATCTAATTAGGTTTAAACGAATAAACCCTTACTCAACGAAACTAACAATATGTTGTTTGTGGGACAAGGCACTCATTGTCCACATAACGAGCTACGTAAACAAAGCTATCATCAATCTTGGAGTTGATCTCGACGTGATTCCATACCCTCATCACCTTTGTGATCTCATAGTCGAAGCTCTTCACATGATGAAATCCAAAGCC